ATTCTTGCACACACACACAGGCTGAAATACACCCACTGTGAACATGCAAGAGATGTGGAGTGATGGGGCTCCGCCACGTTTGCAGCCGCCCATGACGTTTCTTTGGGGTTAGGTTGCCCTGCTCAAGGGCAACCTCGGCAGGACAGGCAAGCCAAGTCCTACACACTGGAGCTACTGTACAGCGAGAAACAAAAAGTCAATTTATCTAAAACATATGTTTTTAATTCCAATTTAAATGTAAACTTGAGTAATCACATCTCTGAAGTTTTTATAGTACTATAATTAATCATTATAGTGTTTTGGTAATTTAGTATTTATTAGCGTTTCATCTCCAGCCTTTGTGACGAATGTGTTTGAGTATTAATTAATTATTATTAAATTAAGTTACTAAATTGCATTATATTTTATAGTTTACAATTAAAAGCCATTAAAAAATGAGTTTGTATTACAAACTTGAGATCGCAATTATTTTTCACAAACTTCCGTTTATGACGTTTGTGTTGTTGCTCCGCCCCCTTCCTGTCCTGCGTTGTGATTGCTGGATTTCCAACTTGTTTGGGCGTAGAACGTATAAATTGTTTGTTGACCTTTTTAAAATTGCTTTTAATGTTTAGCTTAGTCTGATGTGTTTTACTGTTTTACTGATTTGATGTTGTTTTTGCTTGCTTTTTGTTTTTATGTAAAGTGGTGCTGAAGTATTAGAAAAGCGCCTACAAATCAAATGTATTATTATGTATTATAAAGTAAACATACAATATTTAAATTGTTACCAGTGAATCTGGCTGGTCTTTTTTCCTCAATCAAATCTGTGTGCTCAAAACCTTTTATAAATAAAGTATAACACTATCTCTGTACCACAAAACTGCTGTCCATACTGGACAACCGCCACTACCCTCTGCACCAACACTTCACCAGGCAGAGATGTGTTCAGCGGCCGACTGCTGTCCCAGTCCAGCTCCACCAACCAGACCAAAAACTCCTTTCGTCCCGTGGACATCAGACCTGTACAACAGCTCTCAGAAAGGCAGGGAGGACAATTAGCATAGACAATGGACAATGTTCTACCTGTATTTGCAAGCTTAGTTTGCACTGTTTTATTTCCATTTTGCACTCCACTCCATTTGCACTGTTTAACTGTTGCAATGTGTACTGTAGCTACTGTTCATTTTATAACCTGTTAATTTTATATAATTATTACATACATAATGTTTTATATCTTATCTTATATCTTATTTTTGATTCTGTTCTTACGGTCAGGGTTTTTCATTTTAGTTTTAATGGTATGTTTGTATTTTGTATGTTACTGATGCTTGAATTTCCCCTCAGGATTAAATAAAGTATCTATCTTATTACACAAATGTCATACCAAAAACTGAACAGTTAAATTTTTATTGTTTTTTTACAATGTTTACTGTACTTTTGTTTAGTGGTCTTTTTAAATGTTCTTTTTAAAATGTGCAGATCATGCTGACACTCTTTTGAATGTAAAATGTTTGAATTGTCTGCCTTAGGATCTTTTTGGAAACACAGGATAGAGCACAGGTGATTGCGACTTTTCGTTAAAAGTGTAGGAGAAACCATGTGGCTTGCCAAAATACAAAAGGCTTACCAGGTACCCAAAACAGTAGACATTTAAAACTAACAGAAAAGTTACTTACTTGTGATGAAGAAAGTTCACATTTTAAACAGACTTGATAACCAAATGAGGCAGCCGACCTTGAAATGGAGGTTATGTTTAGAATCATCAGAAAGCATCAGTGCTTAATGCATTTTTGCCTGTAAAATTAAGTTATTTTAGTTTTATTCAGTCTTTATTAATATAGTTATTTAACACTATGAATCATTTCAGAAGTTGACAATGTCTTAGCTTAGTGTAAGAGATTTGCATATTGTGTTGTGTATATCATACTACATACTATTCATGTTTATTGTAACCTCAGATTGTCCTATAAATATGTAGAAGACCTTGGGCTATGTGGAGTTTTGGTAAGGAGGAACACAGGAAAGAGATGTATGTAACAGTAAGGTTGGAGGTAGGTTTAAAGTGCCACTGTACGGGTTGGTGAGATAAAAGTAATCTAACAGTACTTTGAGAAACTTAATGGTTGTTTAAACGACTGTCCTTGTCCCTGAAGGGATGTACGTCAGACACGCATCATTTACATAGCTTAAAGCTCCTCGTTTTCAAATATCCTTGTGTGAATAAATTGTAATCTGTGTTTTTGAAGAAAGGTAGACAGTCTGAATGTCGCACCCGCATCACACCTTGTACGAGTCAATCATACACAGTTTCACAACTGGTCCACTGTGGTGCTGCTCTCTTTATAAAGGACTGTCTTCATGGTTGAAAAGGATGTCTAATGGGCTGTTAAAGCAGAACCTTTGTGAAGCAGTCACAGCAGCTATTATGTGCATTTATACGAAAATACTGTGGTAATCAAAAACAAATTCAATACTTGGGCGCATTGATCATCTTTGGTGAGAACGCCGTTTCAGCCATCTTGTATATAATTTTTAAGGCAGGTTTATTACCCCTATGGTCAGTAAACAGATTATTTCTTTGTAACAGTTACGTCACATGTTTTTAAGGAAATATAGGCGTGCTGCTGATGTTGATTGAACAATGCATTATTTCCCACTCACTAATATGCCTGGTGATTTAAAGGAAAGTAAATGCCATGTACATAAATGGTATAACTTGCTAGCTCATAGTATTCATATTACAGAATGTAATTAAAGATTAGAGTAAACATAAGATCAACTCAACACCAGATTTTCAGAAGAAAGCTAAGCCACAAGATTTCCACATTATGCATATGGATAATAATCTTCAATATCATTGGGATTATTTTAAATCAGTAATAACTGGAGATCCATGCGAAGTAGTTTTATGGTCAATGTGTTTTCCTGTACAAACATCAGGTTTATCGGGATGAGATGACCGCAAAAAGTACAGGAGTCTGGTTTAAATGAGTTTATGTAGTTATTTGTAGTACATTGTATTTAACATTGTGTGTTTGTGTGTTGTGTGAACCTTTGTATTTTTGAACTTGACACAGATATTAATGATAATATAGAAGGAAGATATATACTTTATAAAATCCCCTTCTGGGGAAATTCCTTCTTTCGCTCTTTTTTTTATTCTTGGCACAACCACAGGCTGAAATACACACTGTGACATGCAAGAGGGTGGAGTGAATGGGCTCGCCACAGTAGCAGCGCCCCATGAGCAGTTTCTTGGGGTTAGTTGCCGTTGCTCAAGGGGCACTCGGCAGTGCACAGGCCAAGCCAAGTCTTCTACACACTGAGCTAAATGTACAGAGGAGAAGCAAATAAGTATTTATTAAAAACATATTTAATGTCATTTAAATGTAACATTGAGTAACCATCTCTGAATGTATTTTATAGTATATAATAATTTCTATTATAGTGTTTTGTACTTTAGTTTTAGCGTTTCATTAGCCTTTGTGACGAATGTGTTTGAGTAATTATTTTAATTATTATTAAATTAAAAGTTACAAAAAATTGCATTATAGTTTATAGTTACAATTAAAGCCTTATAAAATGAGTTTGTATTACAAATTAAAGATCGCAATTATTTTCACAACTTCCGTTTATGACGTTTGTGTTGTTGCTCGCCCTTCCTGTCCTGCGTTGTATTGGCTGAATTCAACTTGTTTTTGGACGCTAGACGTAAATTTTGTTCGCGTGTTTAAGATGTAACTTTGCTTTTTGCAGAACAGAGAGGAGAGGAGCTGTTGTTGATATTACAGTCAGAGAGAGTGAGAGAGATAGTTCAACTCATTTTCAAGGATTATGAAAAAAAAAACTAAGCAATCTTTTTCTATTTACGGGAGTTGATTTATAGTTGGACACAGTCAGAATGAGGTCTAAGTTGTTGTTGAAGTTATTATGGTGTGTACTGTTGTTTAAGTACACCGTTATGCACTCACTGTGTTTGCTAAAGGAGCTCAGAGCTAACGCAGGTAAACACAGCAGGGTACTGAGTGTTTGTGTGTACGAATGAAGCGTAGATTGTTATCATGGACAGTCCCTCGCACTCCCATCTCCCGCAATAACCTGGATGTTGAGGTGGCTACAAACCTTATGCAGCCTACCTCCACTGGTCGGACCCTCGCTGTCCAGCCTCGTTGTTGTGCATCGGCTGCAAGCTCCGTGTACCTCAGCTTCTTGCGCTCGTAGGCCTCCTCTACTGCGCTCTCCCAGGGGACCGTGAGCTCAATGATGGACACTTGAGCGAAGCTGACCACAGTACAAGGTCTGGTCGCAGGTTGGTGGACGCGATTTCAGTTGGGAAGCACAGCCTTTGGTTAAGTCTACCAGCAACTTCCAATCACGTGCCATGTTGTACAAGATAAAGTATTCCAGGCATTATGGTAAGTCTCCGCAGTAAACTAATGTATACAAAGAGAATAACAGATAGAGGCTACAGTAATCATTATACTATACTGTGATTATTTTGGTATGTTTAC